CCGACTGCCGCCCCGCGTGGCGGCGAAGGCCGCACTGACAGCGACGGGTCACCGTCTTACGCGTCGCGGGCGGACGGCAAAGATGCCGCTGATTGCCCCGGGATGGACGAGAGCGGGCGCGGCGCGCTCAACAGAGGGAAAGACCGGGCCGTCACCTGGCCTGCGGCGAGGCCGGCGCGGCTGGACCTTCCGTGGCGCATCGTCAAAGGGGCGATGGCGCGGCGCGATTTCGCTTGTGCGCAGTGGGACCGTGTAATTTTGAGAAATTTGGGCGGCAAGCGCAACGGTGCCTGATGTTCACGATACTCAGATTAGATGAAGTCAATCTGTTTGATGAAAATGTGCTGCGTCATCTAAAGAGAAGTGACAGTGAGAAGAGAGAACGGAAAGATTGAGAGTGTAAGACTGCATTCAGGGGCGCGGAAAATTGACGGTCAGGAGTGGCTGAACCCATCAGCTTTCTTTAACTTAAACATTGCCCCTACGGACATTGACTGGAAAGAAAAAATCAAAACTACCTATAAGCCCCCGCTCTAGTCCAAATATTCTGCCTGAGTGTATCGCATAAACATGATACCTTTAGCCGATCCACACTTAACACTTATCCATATCTGCGTCCTGAACAATGCAGGCTAGCCATGTCACGTTACGAATTATTTGTTCCCAACCACTAACTCAACACCGCTAGGTTTGTGTTTGAAATAACTTGAGCCTTAACTTTGTCAGAAGCCAGCATTTAGCAAAGTGGCACGTACACCATTTATCTTCGCCCATGTCGCTCAGCAGAAGTTTTGATGCGACAGTAGTATTAGTGTTACTCCTCGGAAAAAACAGGAGAGTGGACTATAGTTAGGCTGATATTTCGGCGAAATGCTTTTCTCGAACATCAACCTAACTATCTCCATTCTCCTGATTTTTCCGAGGAATAAGGCTAACACTACTGTCTTATCTTGTCACTAGCTGCTCGTCTCTAATGCACTGAACAACTTACGAAACTTTGATGCTAGAAATGACGTAATGACAGCTAAAGATATATAAATAAACGGCGAAGGCAGTGAAAGCATAAGGAAAATGCAACAAAAGCTTTAATTTTTTGAACCTTGTAAACCAGATACAAAAACTTAGACGTATCATATGAAGCCAGCACCCAACAGTTGTTTGTCACAACGCCCCCTGCGCGCCCCAGTCCGGCAGTCCGTCCGAGCGACCCTCTGACAAGGCCCTTGTCAGCGCCGCCGCCGCCGCCGTCGGCCTGCGGGTCGGCGTCGGCGCCGAGCGGCCGATGCCGACTGCGGCGCCCGCTGGCCTCGGCTGCGCTCACCTTGGTCGAGTCAGCTCAGAGTACCGATCACCACTGATGCCTGGGCAGCGGCGGACGCCGGTTATATACGGCCACGCTGGTGGCGCCGCGGGGCTCGCGCCCGTGCCCTTTCCCCGCCGATCCAGGGCGACAACGGCCGGTCGTACGTCGGGCGGTCACTGCCGGTCACCGCCGGTCACCGCCGGTCACCGCTGGTCAACGGTCGTCTCGGTCAGCTCTGGCCACGGGAGTGGGGCGGGCAGCCACCGGGGACTCAGGCCTGCACGTGCTCGCTGACGGCCGCGTGTTATGACCATTGACGAGCCCATTGCTGGAGACGTAGAGGCAAACAAACGCGATGTACGAGCAGTGATAATTGACTTTAATGACACAACCCCTTTACTGACTGTGAAGGGCTTATGAACGATATAATGTGTTCAGCAAGACGAGCATTGCCACTTCAACATTGATAGATTGAAGTTATGCAAGTCACTAGATGTGTACTTAACATGCATCTGAACCAACTGTGATTGCTAAGTTGGTGACACCGAATCCGGTTATGCTTTGCAACCTATGACATCGAAACTGCGATTCCTGAAATCACGCCGTACCCGCCTCCTTCGCAAGACGTGAGCCGGTGTGAGGCGGAGTCAAATTGCAGTATATTCAGAGCGTGCCTATACGGCAACACGTCGCCCAGGCCCCTGTGCATCTGTTACCCTACTTATGTGGCAAAGGCGATGTACTATTTTTGCTGCCATAGATATCTGCATAATGGATATCGCTTTTCACATTTCTCAATCATGGCACTACGTTATAAGTTTTTTGTAATGTTTGACAGGGGCGCTGAATCTGCAACTATTTCCAAGTCGGCAAGCACATCACAAGGAAAATGGCAACTCCTCACAGTCTCCATCCTTTGTCTTTAGCTGAGTGTTAGTTCTCTATATACTTCTGGCCTCGTAAGGTAGCGTTTGTGGGCTACTTCCAATACCTTTGCCGTGCTGTGGAACTCGCTCGCGCCGAGGATCGAGCACGCTGAGGGCCAGGCTGGGCGGAGATGCTTCGCTTCGGACCGTGTGGGTTATCGTGGAAGGGGAGCAAACGTCGGCACCGATGTCAGGTTGATGCGTGCAGCGTATGCAGAAATGAAAACAAGTCAGTGCTGACTGCACTGAAGTCAGGCCCAAACACTCCGCTGACCATGAGCATGCCGGTATCAGACGCTTTTTAAGTCAATTTCAGTCTTTGGCAACCAGAATAGATCAGCATTTGGTGACACACCGTGGTGTTAGTGAATTAGACCCAATGTATGTTGAGTCAACTAGCAAGCAAGCAGACAAGGCAAGCAGGTAAGCAGGGTTTGCGCTATTTTCTACCCGCCGGGTCTGGTCGCAATAATCGGACCAGGGCTCCCCGCTGAGTGGGTTGGGCGGCAGTGCCGGTCTCCGTCCGTGTGCATGGCGGCTCAGATAAGAGCAGAGGGGAATTTGCGGGAGGGGGTGGGGGAGACACTCGGAATGGATACCGCAGAAAAACGCCCTGTTTACGTGTACTAGTTCGAGCATGTCTGTCTGAAAACTATTTTCTAAATTTCATTCGCATAATGCACGTACCATTTGATATGCGACGGATTACAAAAGGTATCTGTATCTAGCTACCAATTCTTCGCGTGGAAAAGACATCCGTTCACTTATATATGCTGGCAGAAGGGCATTCCAGTAATGAGTGACATACCGCACATTAACTAAAAACCACGGATCGTGTGTATGTGCTGACAAGCGATCGACAATTTTCACATGCAAATTCTCAGGATGGTTCAGTTAAATATGTTGGACTGTTGCTTTGCTTCTTCAGATAGTCAGACATGGCCCAGTTGGTCCACTAAAAAAGCAGAGCAACAGTTAAGCACGTTGGAGGAAATGATAGATGTCGGCGACGCTCGTCATAATTGCAATGATCCATATGAACGAAACAGGAAACTTAAATTTCTTACCACTGTGCGAATCAGCTGTCACGCAGGAGAGACAGAGAGAGAGAGAGAGAGAGAGAGAGAGAGAGAAGAGAGAGAGAGAGGAGAGAGAGAGAGAGAGAGAGAGAGAGAGAGAGAGAGAGAGAGAAGAGAGAGAGAGAGAGAGAGAGAGAGAGAGAGAGAGAGAGAGAGAGAGAGAGAGATAGAGAGAGAGAGAGAAGAGAGAGAGAGAGAGAGAGAGAGAGAGAGAGAGAGAGAGAGAGAGAGAGAGAGAGGGTGGGAGGAGAGAGCGAGACTTTCTTGCACTTTGGATGAAAACGAAACATATTTGGTATTATTTCGAAATTGGCATTGCGGTGACCTGCAGCATATTCTATTCTAAGTCTGGAATGCATCAGCCTACAGACATAAAAGTCACCGCCAGACCACAGGTCAAGTGGAGGCGCTCAGCCAGCTGGTGGCTGCCAGTGGCTCGGACAAGACAAACCCGCCGGCTGGCGTCCCCGTCGCTCGCACCCTCCCCCCTCCCCCAGGCTCGTCACGGGAGGACTGCTCCCGGGAGGGGAGGGGAGCTTTCCGGGGTTATCGAGCGAGTTGGAAGGGATCGCCCGTCGGTGGTGAGGACATCCGTCATCAATGACAGTTCAGTGGACACCCGCTGAGGTCTCTGGCCCGGCCGGATCTGCGGCAGTGTCGCGTCGCCGGGCCACAGAGCCGCCGACGGCTGATGAAGTAACGTCCGCGAATCACAATAATATCCGGCCCATAGCGACGTCAGTTATCTGTCGGGAAGCGGACAATGCCGTCTTGTTTCCAGGTGGTCTCCAATATAGTGTGGCCTCGGTTCGCCTGAACCAAAAAGGGGTCATTAACACTGCTTAAGCGCGCAACTCAAATGACCATGATAACATAAATCTAAAATGAACAGAAACCACAATCCCCTTGCAAACCAACCAGTTACTTTCATTGCAAGAGCTGCCAGGTCTGACAAAGCTCGAGACTAGTCAATTTGCAACGTGACTGTGCACAAGCGTGTGAACGTTGTACCGCTGGACCTCTGCCCGCAGGACTCAAGGACATATGGATAGGCTGAGCTCTTATGAAAGGCTACATCTGAACGGTTTGTATATATGTATATTTATATGTTTTTATATATTTTATAAATGTGTGCCTATGTATATGTATATATATACATATATATATATATATATATATATATATATATATATATATATATACGATTGCTTCAACTGAATGAGTTATTGAAAGACTGTCTACTCGGAAGCGGCTCAGATAGGATAATAAACAAATGTCTTCTCAAACCTTGTGTGCTTGCGACATGATGTCTTGTTCAGAGGTGAGCGATATTGGCAAGAACATACGAGAAATTGCTGAAAGAATGAATGAACGAGCTACAAAATAAACGATGCCCGCCCAGTAGGGAATGTGAGATGAGTATGCTATAGTATGAGCGCTAATTAGTCCTCCAAATTAAATTCCGCAAAAAGCAATGACCGTAAAGGCTAAGATTAGTGTTTGAGCGTTTCGAATTACAGACCGTTCCGAATTCTAGAGCTTTAGGTTCATACGGCGAGAGCTGAAGTACATCATACCAATGTTAAGCCTTTTTGCGGACTTAGGGACGGAATCATTGTTCGGGCGGAATAATTGTCCTTGTCCGGTGTGTGAGGCAGGCACAATGCGTGTACACACAGAGACTGTGCGCACGTGCACCAGGCGAGGCAGATAGTTCAAAACATTGGTGCATCCGTGATGCTATTTCCTCGGCTCAATCATTCCATAAAACTATCTTGCTTTAGATAGCTCCAATCAAAATTCAGGTAAAGAAGAGGTGTAACATAACATCCGGGACTCACTCGGGGAGACACGACGGCTGGTGGATGAAGATCTACTTCTCCACACCAGAGAAAACCAGACCCACCTTTTCACAGCAGCTCAACGGTTTTCGGAGAGGAGAGGTGCATGCGACTATATATGGCGGTGGGATTTGAGACTGAAGACGATTGTGCGTACTGTGGGAGGACGGTATGCCTGTCTGTGTCGAATATGGTGGGCTACTTTACGAAGCACCGAAATGATCAGACAGTTGTAATCTATCGCGCAGATCTCACTAGGAGACCCGAAAACACAGCCGGCAGGAAGTCTCAAGCCCATCCCCATCGTCATACATAAAGCATCCTGCCGTTGAGACACAACACCACCACCGGCGTCAAATATGAAGTGTGCGTTAAGAAACGACATACACGGCCACAGTCCTGCGTATAACGCGCCCACCAGTTTGGGACGGTTGTGTGGAGGGGACGTCAGTCAGACGGCCGTACCATGATCGCTCCTCCGACACATCAAGGCAGTGTGGCTGGGAAAGGCTTCCTCTGAATGACTAGGGCATCTGTACCAGTGTTTAAAGAAGCGAGACGTGTGCGCGGAAAAAAACTGAAATGACATAACGAAACCTCAGCCCAGTCGTCCCTTGTGGTGACCTCGCAGTTGGTCTGCGGTCGGTTAACATCACTGGTCAGTAATGCAAAAAAGGCAGCCTTGGGCCGCGCGCTTGCGTCAGAGGCAATAAAAATATAATAATGTGAATGATTTATTGGTGTTTAGGTCTTTCCCAGCCGGTTTCACAAACTATTTCGATGATATGCGACCAGTCAGCACGCCAGTGATGTGAGAGAGTGATATAGTTTGTGAGCTGTAATACAGATAATTGAAAAGCTCTGAATAAGTCGCAGTGTTTCAAGTGTTTTCACCTATTTCCACTGCCGAATGACCGTTTTTCATGGCACTCGTGACAGCACAACGCCCTGCAATTATTTAAGATATCGAGTCGGGCTGGGCTGCTGTTCTGCTAAAGCTGAGCCCGACCTGAAGGTCTGGCTATCGCCTCTTAACATATCGAGTCGGGATGAGCTGCTGTTCTGCTAAAGCTGAGCACGACCTGAAGGTCTGGCTATCGCCTCTAAACATATCGAGTCGGGCTGAGCTGCTGTTCTGCTAAAGCTGAGCCCGACCTGAAGGTCTGGCTATCGCCCCTAAGCATATCGAGTCGGGCTGTGCTGCTGTTCTGCTAAAGCTGAGCCCGACCTGAAGGTCTGGCTATCGCCTCTAAACATGTCATCTCTGAAATGTGCTTTTGGCAACGTGAACTCAAGTTTTCGTTCTAGATACACTGCGGGCAACGCAAAAACCAAGATATGGTGGTTATGTTCACTTTGTGTATGCTGCAACCACGACAGACTCAAAAT